ACCAGAAGCAGCTTCACCGTGTCCAATGTTGGCTTTGATGGCACCCAAGTGCAGAGTCTGCTCGGGGGTACGCTGGCGGTGGCGAGGAGCAAAGGCGTTGGTGACTGAGGTCATCTCAATTCCATCACCGGCCTGAGTACCAGTGCCGTGCATCTCCACGTAGCTAATCTCATGAGCATCAACACCGGCGTTGGAGAGGACCTTGTTGTAGAGGTACTCTTGAGCACCAGCGTGAGGGTGGGTGATGGAAACGGCCTCGGCACTGTGGTTGGTGGCAGCGCCAAGGATGCAACCAAGGATGTTGTCCTTGTCAGCAATGGCATCCTCGTAACGCTTGAGGACGACGGAACCACAACCGTCACCACGGCAGTAACCATCAGCATCGTTGTCATAAGTCTTGCAACTTCCAGTCTTGGACAAGAACTGGCCCTTGCTAAGACCGGAGAAAATGTCCGGATTAGTCAGGACATTGAGGCCACCGGCGCAAGCAGTATCACAGTCACCAGCCCAGAGGGAAGTGCAGGCCAGCTGGATAGCAGCAAGCGAAGAAGAGCAAGCAGTGTCCACACTGTAGGATGGACCGGAGAACTTGAAGTAGTAGTTGATGCGACCGGGCGCGAACGCCCTCACACCACCCGTGATGAAGTAGGTGTCGATGTTCTCTGCAGCGTTGATCTCACGCCAATCGTCGGAAGTCTGACCGTAGAAGGTACCAATGCGCTCGAGTTTGGTCGAGGGAGTACGGTTTGGTACGTATCCAGACATTTCGAGGGCTTCGTAGGCAGTTGTGAGGGCTAGACGACCCATGGGATCAGTCTGGGCAGCCTCACGGGGAGACATGTTGAAAAAGCGGGGGTCGAATAGACCAGGCTCGTCGATGAAGCAGCCGTAAGGGGTGTGACTCTTGTTCTTGCCCTTGCCTGAGGGGTCGCAGTGGGCTTTTGCGTCGAAACGGTCTGCAGGGACTTCGCGATGGACATCCAGACCGCGCTCGAGAAGATCCCAGAGCGCCTCAGGGTTGGCAGCACCGGGGAAACGACCAGACATACCAACAATGGCAATCTTGTCGTTCTGTGTACGGCCACGGCTATCATGCTCGGATGGCACCCAGGCAGACTGGTCGCGGACGGTGATGGCTGATTGGCCACCATTCTTCAGCGCGGATGCAAGGCTGTTGGTAATGGATGTTACACCGAATGCGGAGACAGAGCACTGTGCATTGGATGCAGAGGTGACCTGAGAGACGACCTCGGAAAGGAGGCTGTCCCATCTCACAGGCTCCACAAGCATCTCATGAAGAGCAGTTCGGACCAACTCCAGAGTGTTGGTGGCAGTCTGGCATTTTCCGGTGGCTGCCGAGTGGACGAGGGCGACAGGGCGGAATTGCTGCAGATGCCTGATGGCGTCCTTGTCGAGGATACGGTCGATTTCTGTCTGAGCATACAGGTGAGATGCATGGTAGGGCGCATATACGGGGATGGCAACACGAGCACTGGACTTGAAGGCCTCCTTCTCGAGAAGGCGCTTCGTGGTAGCAGGCGGGCCGCTGATGGTTAGCGCCATTGTGCTAACGGCGCTAATGTAGGCCTGAGCCAGGGTCGGGATCTTTTGCTCCTCGTGGAATGCAGCGATGGCGTCCTTGGCAGCATCTTCAGAAATGTTGGTCACGATAGTGGACCACGAATCTCTGGAGGCAGAAGATTGCTCGAGTGCCTCTTTGGCTGCACCAACGCAGGTACCTGCGCGGAAAGCAACCCGGACGGCTTCGGTCGCGAGTGGGAGAAGCTCACTCAGTGACCTGGCAGATGCAACAACAGAACCTGCAAGGAGACCGGTGCAAAGACCGACGACTCGGGTGTTTGATGGGTTTGGAAGCTGTGTTGGGTTCTCGGCAAAGTATCTGAAAGGTCAGCAGGACACTTGACAAGCACATGAAGAAAAAAGGCTCACCCAATGTAGTGCGCCAACTGCGCAATGGTAACCATACAACTCTCAATCTCAGGGATTTTCAGTCCCTTGGCGTAGTATGCTTCCACAAGATCCCATGTTGTCAGGAAGTTGGGGATTTGGTCTCGCTGTGTTCGTGGCAGCTTTTGCACCTCTTCGCGAATCACAACACTGATCCGGTCGAGAAAGGTTGTCAGGGTCGCATTGTTCTTCCAGGTGCAAGCCTTCCGCAGGAGCGGGTACTGGTCGGCGGTTTGGTCTCCGAAGATGAGGACATCCATTTTAGCAAAGGGTATAAAAGAAGAATTATAAAAAAAGATGGAAAGATGCAGTAATTCGGTGCCGAAAAAGGCAGAGTAACCTCGATGATGTATTTAGGAGGTGAAAGGGGTGGGCTTCCAAAGTTAATGGAAGGGTAGTTGGTGATATTTGAAAGCGAAGAGCTCCAGTGTCTTATGACTTAGGCACTTGATGCAAGGGTAATGGCCCAAGAAACTGGAGGAGGAATGGTGGGATAGAAAGGTATCTGGGTCTGGAGGTACTCGTATATGTATGTGATCAGCCTGGAATGATAGGCGTAAGATGTCAAGAAGGTGGTCAGGGCGTGGATCGCGCGATGACAAGCACAGTGCGTGCCGGATCTGTTACAACCCATGTATTGCGGAGCGAAGTACTGCAGAAACGTATTGACGTGAGAATCAGTGTGGCCCGCGGACCACTTCCCTTCCTGGATAGTACACCATAATTCCGAGGATTGATGGCGTGCAGATGCCGGCTGTGCGTCCGAGTAAGCTCGCATGCCTATTGATAGATGGCGCGCTAGACGTGGAGACCAGCGGCTGAGATATGCAGCCAATGCATTGCGGATGATAGTACTTAGAGATGAGACGTGGGGACGTGAGAAGCGAGGGCGCTGTCTCAACTCTGGTCTAGTGGCTCGGATCCCCTCCCAAAGGCCGGGGTGGATAGACGTCGAGTCCGTGTGCTCTACTATCAATTACAGCATCTTCCAGGCAAATTTAGGCTTAGATCTATGCAGTCAGGAAGAATCCATTCTGGTAAAGTGTGCATGCTGGAGCTGCTTGAAGTGAACCCTGTACACATGTGGAAGACTAGTGGGTACAGGCATCACAGTACAGGACCTCCGGGCAAACCGAGGCCCTCGTGGCAGTTCCGTGACACAAGAATGTGGGTGCTATATTCTTCGGGTCAACAGCTTGTCGTACCGAAGTGTTCCAGATAGCATGTAGGTACTATGGGGCGGATGGTGAGGTTGACGAGTCAATCAAGACCTGGTAAATCATCCGGTGAGCGATCAGAAACGCTGCCGGATCTCTGTCAGCGGTTCCATTGCCACGTATCGAGTACTATGATGCTACAGCGTTGTTGGCTTTGACCAAGCTTCTGGAGCCCCCGCTCGGACTTATGGCTGGGTGAGCACGCTGGCTGGGAGGTTCAGCATGAGGCATAGCGTACGTCTCGGAATGCCTGGAGCTCGGCGTCTCCTAATGATCATCAGAGCGCCAGCTCATCGGGTCGCCTACTTTGGGTTGGTCTGAAAACAAGCATAAGGAAAGCAAGCATTGCTTTGGGTGGATGGTTGATGTGGATATTCGAGCATCCAAGCGCCCAAAGCCACCAGCCATGGGAAGCGCGCCGTTGAGACGCTCATCTACGCCCGCCTAACGTTTGCCAGGCGTCAATCGTGGCTACTCAAAGGCTGAGCAAGCTTGTCATTTCTGTGAATAGTTACAGTCAGCCATGCCCCATTTCACGGCTTCCCCAATACCGACGCCACAGGCGGTACTCCGGGCTTACGACGGGAGTAGCATATCTAAAACTGATAGGCTAAGTCGAGGAACGCCTGACGATAGATACGGGCTTGCATCGCTTGTTCCTGTGGGGCGTAAGGTCCTGAATAGTGGGCGAAACCAATCGCCTACGGCCTTGGACGGTCATGGTAAGGATGAGTACAGGGCCAGACGTGCTGATGGACCGTTTTTTTGTCCCATATCTCGACATATACACAATCTAGAATCCAAGCACCGTAGAGCTGGCATGCGGGGGACAGTGCGGGTGGTGGTGCTCGTGGTGGGGTGTATTTGTGATTACGAGGTGACGTTCATTACGGAGAGCGGAGAACCGAATAAGCAATGGGAAAATGATCGACAAGCTTTCTGCCATCTGCCACCGCCCGTCAACCCTATGCCTACGACCCAGCCACACACGGCACATGACACCCAACCTTGGAAACAGAACAGCGCCTTGTCCCTGACAGCATCAAGCAGATTACATCAACATGGGAAACACTGCCTGCGTGCCCTCAGAATAGCAACTCAGTCTACAACACCGTGTTTTACGAACACAGTCGAAACGGCCCACACCAAGTGTCAGGGCAGTGGTACGTAGTGGTGGCGCCACCACTCGCGTAGTCGCCAGGGCGCAAAGGCAAAAACTCCTGGCATGCATTGTAGGAACCCTGAAATGGTTCGTCTCGACACATGTTTCACCCCTCGTATCCACCCCCCAATCTCGAAGGATGCTCCCAAAAAAATCACCGCGTGCGTCTGATACCACATCGGACCCCGAATGCGGTGAGGACAGCCACGAGATTCGAGTTTCCCATGTGTACATGGGCGCGGTCCATGCCCCTTTCTGCACTCTGTTTGCTTTTCTCGAGCCTTTTACTTGGTTTTTGATGTCAGCCTCTCTAGTCTCCGCACGCTTGTGTTTTCTCCAAATTAGGATATACCTGCGTGTGCCACACTTCCCCGAGCCTCTAACTCTTTACGCCCAAGTGCCTTGTGCTCCTGGATCTTGCTCTTTCTGGAAGTCGACATCCATTGACGCTGGATCGCACTATAAAGTCACGGGACATTCTTTTTCCAACAACGCATACACTGGCGTCAGTCTGGGGGTAAATTAGTCGCCGACTCGCTACCTTATCACCAAGTCTTCAAGCCAGATTGTCCCAACACTTGGCAAATCTTCAGGCATGTGATAATGCCTATAGGCTAATGGTCAATCAAAATAGCCACTTCGTCAGACGTAACATGGAAGTCATTGCACGGATGAGCCAGTACAAGCAAGGCGATATGCTCGCATCAGCTGTACCATCAGCCCCTCTCCATGACAAGTCACTCATCCGGGGACATTCTGCGGCCTATGAACAATATCTCCTCCTTAGCATATGTCATCCTTCTCCACAGTACACTCTACAACCACTGTCATCGCCAATGTCCCAAGTCTTTTGCTTGTGCACGGTGCGTAATGTAGCTGCAGTCCAGCGTGGCGAACATGCACGGTAAGTCTTCCGCATGGACGCCGGGACTGACGGTATACAGATTCTAGTCCAGCCCCTTGATGCTTTATGCGGGCTGCTAGATGGCACAAATCGCCTTGCGGGAATTCTGGCTTAGCAGCTAACAATGCAAAATGCGGGCATTGACCACTGGGAATAGAGCCGCTGCCGTAGAGTTGTATCTCTTCAGCCCCATTTCACTCCACTCAAAAGCCTCAATGCCTAGGCGATCGAGCCACTCGGATCAGTCAAATCATCTGCTGGGGTTCCTTGGGATGTGGCACCAGTAGGGCGGGCATATCTACGACATTGCCTTGAACGTTCCATCAGCCAAGCCGAGTGGACGGCGCCCAAGGTTTCTTCGTATTTAGCCCGAACGTATGGTCGTACCCGGCTCTCGGATCCCTCTACAGATGTCTTGGATAAGATTGACACCTGAATTGCGCAATGGGCTGAAGGTTTTCCAGGGTCCGCATTAATCGGATGTCCGAAGTTCGCCTGGAGACTTTTTGATCCTGCAAGTTTGCAACAAGCAACACAAACCTCACGGATCACATCCGCCCTTGGCCTTGTACGCACTTTGGGACCGCGACAAGAGTTTGCATGATCGCTTTGCGCTATCATCTCCATGGCGTCACCCCCGTGCTTAGACCACTTTTATAATTTCTCAACACAAAACATGTCTTGCACACGGATAAGCATCGGGTCTAGTAACTCCTCAGCAACGGGCCGCAACAAATGACATGAGCGGGCCGAGTGACAACGGTAAATATCGATGATGCTCGCATCTAGAATGTCGCTAAGCGCTCCTCTGGCGTCCAAGCAGATGGTTCGCTGGCGACGAATCCCGTCCCACGGTTTTCCATGGCAACGGGACGGAACGTTGTTCAGAAGATTGGATAGCTACCCACTATGGGAAAGTGTGCCATGCACAATATATTGGCATGTTAGCACGAGCACGATTTGCGATTTGGATCTCGCATAGGGCATCTTTTCTCTGAACGTTTGTTCGCAGTTGAGGGGCGGAGGAGCCTGCGGAGCCTTGTTCCGCACGATTTAGCACAGACACCCCACGCATGAGAGATGTCCTGATGGTAAGTGGATCCAGCGCAATCCAAGTCGCACGTTTTAGCGCCCCAATGCTCCAATTGGAAATCCGCTCGTTGCGGCTAAACGGATCGCCCCTTAGTCTGCCAGGCCTTAATTGGGGGGCATCAAACGGCTGCTTGGCAGCTCGGACTAGCGCGGGCGTCCGCGCCGAACCGTCGTAGGAATGCCGATTCCATATGACATGACATGTCGGTGTCAAGAGGAATGGGTAGGAATAATCGCCGAGTAAGTCTGTTAATGATCCTTCCGGAGTTGTTTCTAAGATAGAACGGTGCTGCAGTAATCCCCGTAGCCCTGTTGTTATGCAAAGATGATGTGGGATGGCAGTAGTTAGTTTTGAAACAGCCTTCTGTACTACTACATGCAGGCCCATTGTCTTCTCTTGCGACCCTTGGGTCAGAGGTCTGTAGTCATAGCTAGGCTTCAGCTGACACGTATTATGATGTGCGTAGAAGATGCAAGGTGTTCCGTCGTGCACTACGGATACCTTGATTTCCAGTCGTCATTCCTATTGCATTTGTGCGATTGTTTCGTGCAGCAAAAATCTTACGTAATATTGATACAGAATAGATCACTGTAGTATGAAAAGAGGATACCGTTCTTTTGTAAAGAAAAGGCTCGCAAAATTACAATGGATAAAAAATATGTGATTAATCAAGTAGGTAGAGTTCGTAGGGAACCAGGATAGCAGAAACCCACGACGAAGGATTCCATCCTTCCGCTTCCTTACAAATAACAATCAAGAATACTATAACCATGTAATTCACTAGATCACTAATCTCTCCATGATCAAGAATCCCCTAGATATAGAGGCAAAATATATCCCACCACACACAACCTACCATCTTGCCCTAGTCATTATCCAGATCGCAACCCCCACTACGTTGCCATGCCCTAGATAAAGCGCTATTCAATAGCAGCCTCGGTAATCTTACAATTACCCTATGATGTTGATACGCGAGGGGAGCGGTAACCTAGATGGGGTGTTTCATGACGTTATAGACTGTGGGGCCGGATTTATGACGCGGTCATGGACTTTTCGAGGCTGTACAAAGGCATTCACGCAACAACACAGCTTCCTATCTTGTCATGATTAGAGTTTTTAATGCACAAGGAACATAGGAAGTACAGGACATGGATGAGTGTGAGTGATGCTGCGTGGTGAAAAGGGTAGAGCCTATTGGATCGGGCTTTCAGTGCTGTGAATACCGTCCTGCGTGAATATCTAGATGCAGACAGAGAATGGGTTAGGGATGTTTTTATTGATTTCTAGATTTATATCCCGAAGGTTGTTGGTGACGCGTGTGTTCCACGTGGACACACTGGAATGGGCAGCGACATGTTTTGTACGATATGAATTATGCACACGCAATGGAATGATTAACACTCGGAAAAATAGAACTCTCTTATTTTCTACGCCTTGTAAAAAATAGGAAAACTTGATATGTTCCTAATGACAAATAATGGTTTGTTTCATTTCACTGTGTAACGTCTAGTAACAATGCATTTCCATTGAAGCTCTTTTACAATCAGCCAGACAATATGCAATGCCAAGATTCAGCCTCTGGAAATTACACATATACAATAAGTCTATTCGATGACATATCGATTCATCGCTATGAACAATCCCGTTACCAAATCTTCAGTTGTTAGATATCCTTTTCGCCCCAAAAGAAACGTAACATAACAAATAACAAACCCTTCCTTCGTACAACCTCAACCCGCCGCTCATCAGACTCTAACAAGGCAATCCCCGCCATCACCATAAGCACCTATTATCGGGACTCCAGCCACATTCCCACATCCCGCAAATTTCTCCACGCGTATCCCGTACCACGCCCCCAGAAAAGAAAAAAACAAACGACATCACAGCCCTCAAACTCCACTCTTCCATTTTCTAGCCTCTCCTCGCCTCAACCCGTGATCGCGATCTACAACCCTTTCCTCGCTCTCTCCGCCCATCCACGTAATCACCCACCTTCTCATTTCACACTCGAGATCTACACAACAAAAAAAATAAGGGCATCCAACGTAATCCCCCCCGTTCCCTCGCCCTTTTCCCGCATTCCTTTTCCTTTTTGCACAGCCAGCCACAAGCATTGAAAGAGAAAACCAACATCCCCCTACGCCCCCATACAACCGCTAGGCATCTAAAGAAAGACACGGCACTCTCACACACCTGTACACGCAACGCGCGGAAAAAATGTAACCACAGCGCTGTGTAACATACCCCCAACACCGAAACACTGAAAACTTCCCGGGAATACCGAGTTGTTTTGTTCGAGAAAAGGAAAAAATGCGGGCGGGAAAGAGAAGAGAATGGAAGGAGCCACGTGCACGGGTGCAACGGGAGGGGCGAAGCGGAGGGGTGGGTTTTTTTTCTCGAGGTGCATAATCTAGCTGGCGTGTACGGCATATGGAATGTAGTACGAAGGATGAGATGGGAAAGACGGAAAATGGACGAGAAAGGGAAATGGGAATGTTTTGGGGTGGTTTACGTGGTTTGTCTGTTGGGTTGGGAGGGGGGGGGGGGTGGGGTTGGGGGGGGGGGGGGGGCAATATGGGGGCGAATGAGATGGGTGTGTGCAGGAGTTACTGTGTTTGGACTGAATGTTTATTTGATGGTAGACATGTATAGAGTTTACAATTTATTTACTATTAGGAGTGTGGGCACAATGCGTGATACACGTGTTCCCCCTGGGGGAAAGTACAGGTACTTGATATCAGTAACTATACTGGCTTGCATTGTATTGTAGTCTGTTTAAGAAGTTTTTTTTTGGACCAAGCATTGCTAAGGCTGCTGATTGTCAGCATGGGAAGAAGCGAGAGAGTTATGTATGCTAGGTGGTAGTGTGTGTAGACATGAAGAATATTCACAAAGAAAAAAAATCAAGACAATTCCGATTGTGCGTTCTAGCAGAACTTAGTTGAATACAGAGTTTTTTGTCATTCAATTTCAATATGTAAAAAAAAAGAGACAAGTGGTACTTTTCAAGAGAAAGACTTTTTTGAGTTTACAATGTTCACAAAGACATAGAGCAGTTCGGCGACTTCCCAAATGTCACGCAATCATTAATATGCCCAGAAATAGAAATATCCTAATCTGTCAACGCACGATGATACTGAACAGGGAACCGTTGTTTACTCTATTTCTAGAAAATGGGCTATGTGGATTTTTCCGAGATAGAAACACAACGAACATTAGGCAAATTTCAATTGCTGACACTAAAAACATTTCTATAGGACGGCTATTTCCAAACTCAAGACGCAAGTTGTTTCGCATTGACAAGTAAAACATGCTACTCTCTCATCTAAGAATCTGATATCCAACAAAAAAAAAGATTTATCCTTCAACGCCCTGCACATTTCTTACTTTTTTGCTGAGTGAGAAGAGCAATGTTGTATGACGAGTGCATGCATCGATTTCTGCATAGCCTGGGTGTAAGCGCACATCGAAAAGCTCTGATGATAACCGCCCCCTTGGGCTTGCGGAACAACGTGTGGAGAAGAAGTGGATACCCCATTGGCCTAGCTGAAGCTAGTCAAACATTACCATACGCATACATTACATGTAGATGTGCATGCAGATGGATAGTGCTTAGCTAGCGGTGCTGGAACAGGCAAACGCGATTGCGACGTCTCCATTGTCGAGATGATCGGGGTAGAGTTTTGGTTGTCGCGCCGATGGCTTCTCTTCAGAGATTAGCGAGAGCGGTAGGGACATCCGCATAGTGGGGGCGGCGCGGAAAAAATGTTTGAAACAACATATGATGCGGTACTCCGTGTGTAATGACGGAGCTCCTTTGGCGCTCTGCACGTAATCATCTAGAAAACGCTGCAGCGGGAGGGCGCAAGACCGATTCGCCTCTCGCTCACGGCGTGAGTCGACGTCGCCATCTGGGCGCTGTATGGTATACATATGCAAAAGCAAGACTTTGGGTCGTTACTGCTTACCAGTGCGCAATAAGTGGGGGGTGATTCAGGCCCGTGGGGCTGGAGGGTTTCCAGAGGGTCAGCAGAAATGGCATTGCACCCGCAGGCTAAACTGTTTTGCCACAGCATGTCGAGCGAGCAGCGGACGGATGTGGCACGTTGTATGGTTGTTGTGGTTATCACTTTGCCGTTTGGGATAGCTGATGATGTAGAGTAGTGAGGCTTGGGAACGAGGGGAGTTTGTGGCTACTGGGGCCAGCGTTCCGGGCGCTAGTCCAGATTGGGCGCCAACAGCTTAGCCACCAATATTGCTATACATAAGCCCTGCATAATTGTCATCACTGCTGCTTGCGAATGGATTATGCGGAAAACTATGTAGTCATCTTCTCGTGTGAAACCCACCTGTGCCCATGGGCCTTTTTCGTGCATAGCCCCGGTCGTGCTCGACCTTGGACGACGCTCAAGACACACGCTGTACTGTCAGGTCAGTGAGCATCGAGATGCCGAAGTGTAACCGCACCTCGTGGCACGCCGGGCCTGGACTGACAAGCGCCGTTCGCCCGCAGCGGGCCCTCTCGGTAGCCTAATTCCTGTTACCACTGCTCCGCTCCCGCCTGCTGTCCCCGGCCAATAGGACTATACGGATATTTTAGATGCTCTGCTCGTAAAACACGGTACTGTGGGCCATAGCACGGCTTGAAGCGTACGAAGCCTCTGCATAAAAATGGAAATTGCCCAACTAATTCGATCTCAACACGCTGCTTGACTGGGTAGCATTGGCCAACTCTGGTTTGCTATAATGCTGGGCAACAGAACGTCAGCTCACGCGATAAAACGCAGCGCATGTGCCTTATCGTGGATTACTCGACGTGTTTCACCTGCAGGATCCGCACAGCCTGCCAAACGTGTCTCGCTGCCATGTGCTTGTGCCAGAGAGCCTGGTGTATCCAAAATAGTAGCCTGTGTATGTATGTATAGTCTCAGCAGGGTTCTACGCTCGCGTTTCGTCAGGGATAGTATGTCGACAAAAGTCGTGGTAGGCACAGCATTCACAGGTCTGGTTTGCAGTGCTAAAACAAGCGGCCGCTTTGGTTGTGGTTGCAAATACGATGCATGCAGCTGATCAGCAAGCCGTCAGAGGAAGCGGCAGTAACAAGCTGTACCCTTATCACGACATCGCCACGCCGACACGGAAACGACTCGTCTTTCCTGGCAAATGGTCGTCGTGCGTCCCAACATGGGGTCGTATCTGCGATTGCACTTAATCTGGCTCCCTGAGTCACTGGCTGCCGTAGAGTCTCGTATCGAGTAGCTAAAGCTCGCAAGGAATACGGGGTAAAGTAGTCGCCATGATGAATGCCGTCATAGGGGTCAACATATCTGGTATTCAAGAGTAATTGCAGCCAGTCCAACGGTCAGTCAGGCAGCCAGGCAGCCAGGCCAGCAGTGTTTAGGGCCGAGTAAGGAATTTGAAACAGTAGCCCGGGGGCGTAATGGCAATATGTGGGGTATGGTGATTGGCGAAACGACTGGCAAAAAGCTATGGGACCTCGAATGGGGCATAGCGTGTTTCTGGAAATGTCTGTACGGTCCATCCTTAGCAGCAGGCGGCCGTGCAAGAGTCTCAGGCATCCCGTGACGGACGGGATGATGAGAACGTGCGATTGAGCGATTTGCTCGCACTGGCACTCGCACCAAGCGGTGGCGCCAAGGCCGGTACCGAAGCGAGTCGCGTAGCAGCGCTTGTTCGGCGATCTATGGCTCCAGTATCCCTTTCACGGAGCGATCGGCCTTAGGGCTGGCGTGGGGTAACCCAGATTGGGCCCGCTGGCTGGGACAAGAAACACTTGCTGCGTCGCAATTGGAAATGTGCTGTCGAAAATGCACATGGACATGGCGATCTTTGCCCTCGAGCAGCAGATTTCAGGTAGCCTCTATTGCTCTACCAGCGCCTCGCTCCACACCCCAGGCTTGTTGGGTGGCGCGGGGTCTCTGTGGTTATCGTTTGCATCATGAAGAAAGCGGCAGCAGGCGTGTCGATTACGCGGTGAGGGAACGGTTGCTTTGGGGCTTTTCACACTGCTCTAGTCGCAGCGGCATATTGCCGCAGAGGCCCCAGGCTTGAGTCGACGCAAGGGCAGGGCCGTGCAGAAGACGGTGAGAGGTGTGGTTCTTGGGTGCATTTGTGAGGAAGCGAAAAAGCACAGTGTGAAGGGCTGTCAAGTCCCAGACCGCAAGTGATCGCCCACAAAGCAATTTTCATGTTGAATCTGCGACCAGGCTGGCGGTCAAAAGAACAAGTCTTTGCAGTGCGACTACGAGGCGTGCATTCGAGACGTGGCAGCGAGCAATGGGAGGCGGCGGGCCGGGATGAAGCTGTGGTGGTAGTGGGAGTGACGCAGTCACGTGTGCAGGCGATCAGAGGGAAGGGAAGGGCGGAAGGCGGAGGGCGGAGGCGCTAGACAACAACACGTCGAACTGGATGCTGGTACGTATGTAGTAGGTACATGCCCACGTCCATCCATCCACCCACACACGCCTACATACATATGTACACACATACACCTGTACCCGCCATGTTCCTGGGCGACGCCAGCGCCAGTGACGCACAGGGCTCACCGTTCGAAACAACTGACCAGCACCAGCGAGGCCCACGCCAATGCAAGAGGCACAAGCACAAGCACGAGCATGACGGACGAGCAATGGAGACGAGAGCGCCAGCCAGCCAGCCAGCCAGCCGATCCAGTCCAAGTGTGCGAGGGAAAGGATAATTATTAACAATACAGCTAGACCCGCAACGGCAGTAGGGAAGACTCGCTTGCTCCAATGCTCGCGGTGCTCGCTCGCCTGGCTTGCTGGTGAGTGGCCACGGGGACGAGGAGCGCAAAGAAGCAACCGCAGGGCCACAGGTAGCAGCAGTAGTGCCCGCTCTGGCACGGGCAAAGCGCTGGTGGTGCCAAAGGCAAAGGCAAAGGCGACTCGGTGGGCGCCTGTTCTGTTTCTGTGAAAGCTCGACTCAGCCGCGCCATGATGCTACCTGATGCTGCTGACAGGGCATATCACTGCCTGCGCAAGTAACAAGACGCGAATGGGCTTCGTATCCCTCGCAACGGACGAGCTGGGACGAGCTGAGCCAGGCTAGGCTCGCTGCTGGCAAGGCACATGTCTAGATGGAGACATTGCTGTCCGCGACCCTCCGTCCATAGACGACCAAGGTTTCGTACCGACAGGACAGGACAGGACTCGGGGGCCGCTGATCATGGCGTGTAATACTGCCGTATTGCGGCAATACATTAATTACGGCTCTGTACGCCGTTTTTTTTCTTTTCCGCCCATTCGCCTGGCATACCTGGTCCGACTTTGTGGCTGACGCGGACCCGGCGCGCCTCTTCCTCACCCACCCACCCCTCCCCGCTGCACGCACCTCCACCTCGACATCCCATCTAGTCCGCGGTGTAGATCTTCAGCCTGCATCCCTGCCATCGCTGAGTCTTATCATCAACGCCGTGCAGATACCCCTGGTCGCTCAAACATCTTCTTCCATGGCTAACCGGGACGGGCTCGACCCACCCAGGAGCCTGGCGCTGCATCTACCTGCGAGGCACTAGCTCATGCCGGAACCCTCCCCCAGTTGATGAATTCATCGTCGCTCAAATGCATAGTCAACACGCCCTGTTAGGCATGGCCGCCAGTTGTACCCGCTCTTACATTGTCTACCTCGACACTTACCTGCGCCGCCAGAATTGCCTTTTCCCACGCCAATTCGCTCCCCGTGGCTGTTTTCTCTGTCTCCTACGCCCTGCTCTCGCTATTGCTACCTCCCCAGCCTGCTTGGCTTGCTGTACAGCACATGTACCACTTGCTCGGTTCTTGCTTGACCTTGTCCTTCTCACACCACGGTTAGCGAACGGGCTCTGCAGTCAGCTCCACAGCTATCTTTGACACACAGTTTTCGTCTGACGTCCCAACCCGAAGCGCCTAAGAATCGACCTGACGTTCGCCTTTCCCACCTTAGCCTCTATCCTCGTCTCCACTCCATGCTCGCCCCATTGTAACACCTACAAGGACCAGCAATCTTCTGAAGCACTCGTCCACTACCCTGCTTGCTTCTTGGCTCACCGTTACCTGCAGCCACATAGGGCCTCCTCCCCGCTTCAGTCCTCGCCACGCTCTTCCACTCGCCTTTTGATGTCCCCGCCTCCATTTTCATCTTTTTTGATCTGTTCCTGAACCTTGGTCCTTCTTATCCCTACCAACACCCCTTCCAAGTCGACCTTGCAGCCATCATCAACAACCCCTTTGTGGCCAACTTCCTCGTAGTACACGCTTTCTTTTTGAGCAGTAGACATTCAACCCGGATAACCCAAAAATGGTCTTCTGCACATATTGTGGACAGTCGTTCACCAGAGACGAGCATCTGGAACGTCACATCCTTACTCGTAAGTCGTTCTTCGTTCTTTATCACCCTAGTAGAATCGTACCACAAGGAAATCGCACGGGGCTATCGCTAACCACTCTTTTTTGGACGAGCAGACACCAATGTAAAGCCATTCAAGTGCTTTACCTGCCATATGAGCTTCGCTCGACGGTACGTCTTTCCAGCCATGCTCTTTTTTCCATGCTCTTATCGAAGATCGAGCTGCTGACGCACCCACAGAGACCTTTTGCAGAGGCATTACACCGTCCACGGCCGTAACCAAAATAACGAAGAAGGTCTTCCACCGCAAGGGATAATACCCAAGTCAGCCGGCCGCACACCCATTGCCTGCAGCAACTGTGCAAAGACGAAGACCAAGTGCGATAAGAAATTCCCTTGCACCCGATGTGCTCAGAGAAACTTGAAATGCACACTGCGTCCCACCAGGCGGGCGTCGAAAGGCGTCCAGCGGGTGGGTGGTCCTGCTGAAGCTGGCAGTGGTGATTCCAGTGAAAGCGGTAGCACCACGGAGAACCAAAACAATTCTGGCAATACTTCTCCCAACCATGAGTCTCAATCTCAACCGCAATCACAGCAACCGACTGCCCAGTCTTCTCCTTCTCAGATCCAGCAACAACCTCAGCTATCCAATGGCCAGCCTTCATCTCAACGGCAATCTCAATCTCCATCAGCATCTCACTCCCGAAACCCGTCAATTTCCCAGTCAGTGCAGGCACCATCACACATTAGCCCTGAGGAGAAGGCCCTCCATCTACCGCTTACCAACACACCGCCATTCTTCGACCAGTCACCCTCGCACGCACTCTCCCAAGCGCCTTCTCTTCTCTCGCCATTGCCGACACCAGTCACTGGCATGAATAGCTTTGTCTCTTCAACGCCCATGTCTGGATACGACGACTTCGTGCGGACAGTACGTGACCAGGGTGATAACGAGAGCCCACAGTTCATTATGGATCCATGGCACAACATGCCCATGGATACTGGTTTCGACCCCATGAGACTAGATCCATCACTAATGATGTCGATGGGCATGGATATGTCGATGGGTCCTCCACCGGAGGGCATCCTTGGGATGATACCCGAAATGTCGCCGGCACAAACGTTCGCCCACGCACCAACACCTCGAGTAGACGAATCCTTCTCAGACCTCCAAATTGGTAGTTCTGCCGCAATGTTCTACCCATCAAATAGACAATCTTCTATAGCAGATGCAGGCGTCCCTGACCTGGGTGCAATCATCGCCGCCCAAGATGGCTGGACCGTGTTCCGTTGTACTCCTTCCATTGCCTCGAGCTCCTGCCCGCGCACTGCGAGGTTAAATCTCGAGCGTCTGGAGCTGAGCCTGAAGAACCACGAAGCTTGGAGTAGCTGGACCCCTTCATGGGATGAATCTGACTTTCAGCAAGGAGGACGCATAGCAGTGTCCAAATTGCAAGAGTCGACGCGTGACAAGCTCCTCGCCATCACTCAAAGCTTCCTCCACAAGGCCCTTGACATCCACAAAGAAGGAAGCAGCACTACGAGTAGCGGTGAGTCTCCTGGCTCAACCGCCTCTCACTCCAATTTTGTTCTTCTGCCACCTGCTCGCGTCCTAGAGTACTTCCTCAAGTCATATGCCAACTCTTTCGAACGCTACTATCCTACCTCTGCGAGGGGAGTGCTGGATACGAATGAGCTGATGCAAAATTACAATGACAAGGCATCGAGTTTGCTCATTCTCATGATGATTGCACAAGGTGCCATGACGATTCCATCGATAGAAGCAAGGTGGTTGACTGGCGGGTTTACCGAAGCCTGTCGCATATCTCTCTTCGATCTCATTGAGAAGAACATCATTATGGCCGGCGATCCCATTGTGTTGCGTGCAGCCCTTCTCTTCACTGTTCAAGCGGCGTGGAGTGGCGACAAGTGGCAGATGGACATTGCCATGGGACAGCGCGGTATGTATTTCTCGATGCTGCGACATTCTGGTATCCTGGATGTTCGCCCGCCGTCAACGCCTCATATGAATGGAACATCGACGACGGACTCGCTGTGGAAGGACTGGCTTCAGCAGGAAAGCCGCAGCCGGTAAGTCTCTGATCTAGTCACATGCCACCACTTACTAATCATTACCCATAGCCTCATCTACTCCTGGGTCATGGTCGACCAAGACCTGTCACTGTTCCATGACACAGCGCCACTGTTCTCAGTCACCGAGTTTGGTGCTCCTATGCCAGATTCCGATCGTCTGTGGCAAGCGCAGACTGCTTCCGAGTGGTCCGACATGTTCAATCAAGTACACGAGTTCTCCAACGGCTACTCATCCGTGGGCTCAGGGGCGAGGCCACCGAGTCTCCGAGATCTGTTCCGCTACTTCCTGGATGACGAGATTGTTGTCCAAGATGTGCAGGAGATTCACCTTACACCCATGCACTTGCGTCTGCTGCTGCATCCTCTACAGACCCTTGTATGCCAGTACTGCCAACTCCTCAGTTGCTTCTCCGACAGTGTAGCATCGCGATCGCGCAATCGGGCCCTGACTGCGGCGTCGACACGCGTGCGCCTAGAAGAAGTGCAAGCGCTGTTGGGTCGCTGGTTCGATCTCGCCCAGCGGTATATGAAGGCCAACCCAATCTGCCCTATGATGCAAGCCAACCTCGTCATGTTCCACCTCATCAGTATGAATGCTGTATCCAACTTTCCAGAAATAGAGCGTCTTGCGCGTCGCGAAGGCGTCGATGGTTCGTACCAGCAGATGGCGTGGATGCATAAGAAGTGTCTGTCAGATGTCCAAGAAGCCATTACGCACGCTGGCCAAGTCCTTCGTCTGATCCGTGACATGCCACGAGGGATCCGCCCTCCATGGTGGGCAGGCGCCGTATACCGCGCTGCCCTCATTGTCTGGACCGACTCGCTGATTCAGAAAGAATCGACGAGCCCCAACCAGCAAAACGCGTATCAGCAACAATCACCCAACGCTGCATTCTCAGTTGATCGTCTTCCTGCCGATCATCCTACCATCCTGCGATACATGTCGCGAAGAGATGGTATCCCTACTCTTACCAAGCGTGACGGCACACCTGTTCCCCTGGACAACGGTTTCGCTGTCCTCTCACATTGTGTTGATGTTATTGATGAGGGTGTCGCTACAAGATTTTCCGACGGCATCCGTAGCAAGCTACAGAAGCTTGCGCGTGGTTAGAAGATACGATAAGTTATGTTTTTTTTTATTCATGTTCCGGCCGTATCCTCGCATAGAGCGAGTTGAAGTGTGCTTAGCGGGCGTCTTCGGTCTTATCTTCTGTTGTGTTATTTTTTGTTTTTCAGCACTTAGAACATGTCGCATCCATCAGTATTC